TCTTCTACCCCAATGCTTATCACCGATTCCACAACGATAAGGATCATAGCACATTTGGCATAAGGTTGAATAACGATCTTTTAAGATGCGATCTTGTTTTGGATCAGGAACCCAAGGTCCAGCTTTGCAACTAGGACCAAAATATTTTGCTGCAGAACGAATGCGATCCTCAACTACTGAGATTTCAGGATCACATGACTTAGCAACTAATGTTGATTCAAAATACTTTCATAAAAATAAGAAATGTTAACAAGTTATATATTAATATAAATAATACAAAATATAATACATACATTAGCTAAAACGTCTGTCCAATGATTTTCTAGACCATATCCTGGGTGACATAATTTCGAGCCACGTAAGTCATGTACAGTGTTTATATCAGCTTCATTGTCGACTACAGCGACAACTTCGTATTCGAAAGGTGAATTATGTGCACGTAGTTCACTAGCTACAAGAATTTCCACACTAGCCCAGCGAGCTGCGACTAAATCTTCAGAGGTCAATACGCCAAAGTGTGCTGTGCCTTTATGTATACGGCGTACACAATCTAATCGATCTACGCCAACAACACATTCTATGTTAGACGTAGCCTCCAATGTTGGACAAAATTTGGGGGTTTTACGGTATATACCTCTCGCTTCAACAATACAAACGCGCACTACGAAATATATTAAAAGTGATTGGTTTTTTTTAATAAATTTTTTAATTTGTCAGTTATTATTAATTTTATTTTCTAACTAAAATATAAATAACAATTATATGATAAATAATTGGGATTTGGGATTTTTAAAATTATTAGATACAATAATTGTAAAGTATTAGGAAGAACGTACTTCTGTTGGGATGCCTCGATTCCACCATATAAGTGTATTCTCTAAATCGTATCTAATGAAGCGATAAGTAAAGCTACTAATTTATTCATTATATCTTTTGTGAAATAAATTTAATAATGAAATAATTAAATATATAAAATAATTAAATAATTGATTGTAAAATTGAGTTTTTAATGATGGAGAATTCATTAATGCTTTTTTTCGAAAGTAACTAGAACTTGAGTATTTTGTTTCAATTTTGCAATGATTGCAAAATTATGATTACTAGTTATGATCTCTTGCCATTTTTCGGATAGCTGCATAATTCGATTGATGTTGAACTTCCGTGGTTTATCGAAGAAAAAATTGATTAACTGTTTTGCAGTCGGTCAATTTTTTACCATTGAAACAGTTTTGCAGAGATCGACACAAATAGTAGTCAGACGATCCACGATGCGGGCTAAACGTTTGACATAATCCGTTTACTGTTGCCAGATACCACATGTAAGATAACACCTTTTAGTCACAAAAACACGCCAAAAACAAAGCGGTTTTTTCAAATTAATCTAAAACCGCTGAAAAATTCAAAATGTGCTTTTACTGTCGTACAGTGTTATTATTAGCCTCGTTCGTGAGGTGTTTGCTATGCCTGGTGTATTTTCTGAACTAGTAGAGATATTAAATGAAATTTTCTATAAATATAATTTTAGATAGCCTTTTTTTCAATCTAATTTGAGCCCAATCGGTCTACCGGAAACCATCAAAATTTAGACCCAAACATGGTCTATCTTCAAATTTTCTTAGTTATCTCAAAAACTATGATAGAAATTAAAATTTGGTGTACTAAATATTTGCATTTTAATATATATACCCCAATTTTTTCATGATATTCCGCCCACTGCAACACCCGCCGCCCATACAAAATTTTCATAAAAGAGTGTTCATTATCTTTAAAAAAATTGTTTACTCTTATTAGACTATATATATTTATTACGTAATAATTTATTAGCGGGTTAATTGGTCATTTAAATAGAAATAAAAAACTATAATTTATTATTTATATTTAAAAATGAATTGTATTTTATTAAAATATTTTTTCGATATTTTAATAAAGTTTTTTTATTTCTATTTAAATGACCAATTAGCCCACTAATAAATTATTATATAATATTTTTTGTCACAAATAAAAGAATAAAATATATTAATTACGTATATAACAATACAACTTTATATAAAAAATGGAAGTAATCCGTCCATTTGTTTTTCAGTTAATTGCAGTTTTAATCAATTTTAGCGAAATTGTGATTTCGTAAAAATTGAGCGAAAAAAAAGGTCATCTTAAAAACTATATTTAAGGAAAATTTCATTTCAATATCTCTACTGGTTCAGAAAATACAGAATTTGGATCACCTAATTTCTGTGTTGATACATTGTGCATCGATTTCAAGAACTTGTGAATGCGTATAGACCTATTCCTAATAGATTTTTTTTAAATAGACCGAATTAATTGAGTTGTCATATATCTTTTTTCTCTTGCCGTGCTATTATGAAGGACATATCAGTAAATTGTGAAAGGATTAAATTTTAATACACCACATTAATAAATTATATTCAATAAATTCTTTATAAATAGAGTAAATTTAGCTTATTTGTCATCATATCATTTCTAAGCTAAAAAATAATCATTTATAAATATAATAATTAAATAAACTATACAATTTTTTGAATTTATTTATCGTCCTGTTTTTTTATATTAATAAAAATATTACAAATACAATATTAAATATATTTTTTTTAATCCGGTTAAAGGTACCTTTTTGTTAAATAATTCAATGTTTAATATTTTTTTTATGGACATGTACGAGTTAGGCTAAGTTGCGTTCTAAATGAGGGAAATTCTAAGTTGTGCCGATAATGTAGTGATGTGTCGATACGTTTTGATAAATGGCTAAATGTGTGTAGTATCAACTTAGCCTAACTCGCACATGTCCTTTATTCTATATTTCGACTCTCTTGACTCATGAGGATCACGATCTAACATAAATTATTAATAAAAATAAATCTACGTCATCTTCTTTATTCTATCGTCTATATAGATATTTAACAAAAAAGAAATCAATAGCCGGTTTAAAAATAAAATATATATAAAAATATATCTGTTCCTCGGGGAGGTATGCAGATCTGAGGTCAATTATTGCTTAGTCTGATGAAGTGATAAGCAATAATCTAGTCAAGGCGCAAAGAGGGGTTTTGAAGAAACCTCGCAGTTAATAGAGATTTAAAGTGCTTAGGTGCACTGACTCAACTAGCCTCAACATAATAATAAAAAATATATATAAATATATAAAGTATACAATATATAAAAAAAATATATATAAATATAAAATATTTATATAAAAATATAATTAGATTAACTTTGAAAAGTATTTTTCTATAAGCATATAATTCACCTACTAAACTTATTGTTCTTTTAATATAATATTTTTATTTGCATTGATAAATATTTGTTGAATTATATATATGTATTTGTTATAAATTTTATATAAGTATGTTAAATTTCTTTATATTAATATTTTTAACTTTAGTAATTACAATTAATTAGTTGGAACAAAGAACAATTTCACTTAGAGATAAAACATCGCTAATGGTGGGCGTTTTCTGGAAAGCAGATGTTTTTGGATTAATTAAACAAATTAAAGATAAATGTGCAGATACAGTTTATATGTTAGAGTTTAATTAATATAATAGATATATATCTTGAAAAAAAATTAAAATTTTACAGTTAAATTAAAAAAGTCAATTTATAACACTTACTGCAATTTTTTTTATTTTTTATTTTTTGTAATAATTTTGCTAAAATCATTGCGGCGAAGATGCCAATTTAAGCCAAAATTTCATTTAATTAAAAATGTTGTTTTATATGCGGTTTAATTTGGTCAATATGACCTTGAAAACTTACTGGTTAGTAACTTGGTTAGCAAGTTTAGTTTACTTTTACCTTCGATTTTATACATCATAAAAATAAACATAACTAAATGTCAGTAGACTAAATTGATTCATCCTCTCTCACTTCGGTGTGGAGTTGTCGCTACAACGAGAGTATCTGGAAATGTTGTGTAATTGTAATGTGAGACAGTGAGGCAGGCACTAATTTTATTTCTTATCATAAACTATCGAGTTATGTGTGAGATGTAAACAAAAAAGATTCGCTTCATCACACTTGCCGAGAACAGGTTATGCATTTTGATTGCCGTAAACTTGGTCGAGTGGTTGGGGAATTTTATTAACGTTTTTATGTTTTCTTTGGGAATTTTTTCTCTTATTAAATTTGATTAAAAACTACACAACTTTGACTTATTCCGAAAATTAGCAACGATACTCGTCACTATACAGGTAGAATTTGCAAATAATTGCGTCAAGTACATATAAAAATGGTAAAACCAGTGACGTTTTCAGGGGATTGATTTAATGTCAAGTCTCCAACTGCCCAAAGAGATGTCAATGTCATATCCGAGCAAAATTAAATAAACATATGGTTTAAAGTATAAAATCACAACGATAAATTAATAGGAAAAATATTTATTTGACTTTCTTATTTATATTTCCATTGAATATTTTAATTTTTTAATATGTGTTACTTTTAAAACAAAATTTATCTTGAAATACAAAAATATTAAGAAGTGTTAAGAATATTAACCCTATGGTTGGTGTAGAACGGTCGTGTTTTATTTGTGTTTACGCTAAATGTTTGTATGGATGAAAGCGGATGAAACTATATGCAGTAGTGAAGCTAAACAAATAGTGCCAGTTACACACATTCCTAATTTCCACAAGTTTCGTTGTTATATATACATATATATATATATTTAGTATATACTTTGAATATGTTACCATCGTTTATATGCCATATTATCAATATGTTATCATTTGGTTCTTGTTTATACTTTGGTTTTTGTTTTCACAGAATGTACAAAAATATAAATTCACGAACTTAGTCAAATCACAAGAGATTTCTATCACGCGCTATAGCTCTTAGTTCACTGAAACATTTGCCAGACCTTCTGTTGATTGTCCTTTCTCATGTAGCTTTGGTTGACCGCGATTTCTGTTTCCTTGCCGATACCATTCCAGAGCAGCATGTGCGATGTCGCTTAAGAGTTTGCGTAAAGTGTGACCCAACCAGCTATGCTTTCTTTTTACGATTTGTTTATCAATTGGTTTTTGTTTCTATTATAGCCTACAGTCGCTCTTTGCTGAACGTACTAGGCCACCAATTTCTTAAAATTTTTCTGATGATCTTCTGATAAAGGTTTGTAGCTTTTATGTGATGCCGACTGTTATAAACCGTGTTTCTTAACCGTAGAGCAGCACGGTTTTAACACAAGTGTTAAAGATTTTTATTTTTGTTTTTAGCTGTGACGTCCTTGCTCTCTAAAGTTTCTTTAGGCTGGCAAACACACATTTAGCTTAACGAAATCGATTGGCTTCCAAGGTATTTAAACTGTATGACGTCTTGTACAAGATTTCACCTATAGTAAATTGAGCAACATTATTATCGTTGATCCGCATAGATTTCTTTTTGTCAATATTGACGTTGAGACGAATTTTTGTACATTCATTTTTGATATATGTTATATATAATTGCATGGAACCAGATGTCAAGTCAACTTCATTTTAAAATCCAGATATAAAATCCATAGATAATTTTGTGCCTTAATTGTCCTATATACTTTTTAATTAAGTGAATAGAAGACTTGATATGAAACTAGTACTAGTTGCTCGATTTGTCTTCGTTGATGTGAACACCGCTTACTCGGGAACCAATCTCCAGATTATTTATATAAATATGCATTCGATTAAATAAAAGTGAAATGAGCTGTCGGTATTAAATTTTTATTTTGCATTGAAAGCAACAACAATTGGTGATTATGGCTGCAATCATTACATACCCCTTAGTAATTTGTTTTATATATACACAATCTAAAATATTTAAACAAATATTAAAGATACCTATTATAGTGTGACTGCAATCATAACATGTCCCTATGTCAAATAGAATATTATCATTTGTATCCCAACTACTGGAAGGGAGTCTTATGTATATCAATAGTTAAATATGTGTAGTTGGGTAAATATTTTAATTGAGATAAAGTGTTCATTAAGTTTTTAGCTTTCAATATTTGTCCAATATATTTCAATTTATTTTATAATTATCTGTAATGATGTTCTATATTAATCTAAAATTCTATTTCATTAGCTTTCAAATTTTCTATTGTTTTTTAAAATTCAGTTTTAATAATTATTATTATTAAGTGAGGAATATTATACACTGCGTTCAGGTGGTCTGTTGTTGTTATTTTAACTGAATTTTTTAATGAAGATGAACTGTCCCCAAGATGGCTTCCTTTCCCAAATTTTTCTCCTACCTTTTCAAAAGAACGGATATTGTAAATATTTCGTTAGAATGATTTTAGCACCTTAGACTTTGGGTATTTTTATTTTATATATTATGTAAACCATATATTTTAAGTTGTCTTCAAGATGGATAAGTTTTTTTCTGCTATGTATTCGATTTTATTAGAAATATTAGTATAACTATAGATAATATAACGTTTTCATATATTCTTAAATGTCAGGTTTGTTACGTACTTAGAATACTAAACCACTAATGGAGGAATAATTAAGAGAGTTCTCAACGGACTTATATGTAATTTTCCTGGATTCTTTATACGTCCCCTATATTAATATTTCTAAAAGTATTTAAATTTCACCTGGTTTATAAATTTCACGTTACTGAATATATTATCAAACGAAAGACGTCATATATGATTTTAACTACTGCTTATAAAAAATGAATACTATCATTAGTTAACCGAAACACTCTGGCTTTGGAAGACTTATAAACCGGATTGTAAAATTCCGATTTAAGTTTTTTTTTTTAATTATGGGGATGCAACAAAAAAATATTAAAAATGTTAATCATTTGCGGAGATCTAAAGGCTTTGATTATTAACAACTTAAAATTACAAATAAATCATGTTAACATTTATTAACGTTTTTTTTAAATAATAAAAAAGTCAAATTTAATTTGTTGAATTATAATCTAAAATTTAAGACCTCTCATTAATTTTATATTTACTATTTTTATATAAAATTTTATATAAAAACAAGTAATTTTTTGTGCCTATTTTAAGTGCCAATGTAAGTGCAACTTAATCAGTAATATATCTATATATGCTATAATTAACAATTTAAGTGATTTTTAATTTTTTCATAATATTTTCTTAATAAAAACAATAATCGTTATTAACTTACATTTTCCATTATCTGGAACATTAATACTACATGTGAAGGAAAACAACACTGATAAGCACCAAACGGAGAAAAAAATGAATTTCATATTTTTCGATATATTTTTTTATATATAATAAATTGTTTTTTTTTTACTCAATATATTTTATTGTTTTAAAAAATAAAAGCTTATATTAAAGATTTTATTTTTTTACACACTAGAACACATCACAATAAGCGCGTGTAATCCGATCTTTAGAGTGACCCGGCAAGCTTTAATTCCAGCTTTCTGCTTCGATCGTCGACTCAACCTAAACTGAGTTGTGATTTCGAAATTATTTGTTTACACGCTGAGGTCAGAAATAAAACAGAAAAATTTTAATAAAACACATGAGTTAAATGTGATAATTAATGCCTTTTTTCGATGTATCTCATTTCAACTTTTGAGTGCGGTTAACTCATTTATATTAAGATTCATAGCAGCTTACGATCAAAGAGAAAAATTTTAAAAAAAGTTTTGGATGATTAATAAAAGTCGGCATTATAATTTATTATAAATCTTAAGTGTTCTCTACATTTCTATAAATATACTTGTACTACGAAACAGAAACCAACCACAACAAAAAATAGACATATGTACGAATGTAGTGATAACATTGTATTAGCTATTGGGATTTACATTATACAGACAATTAAACTTTAAAAGTAATATCAAATCTGCATAATAGTCTAGTGTCTAGTAGACAATAGACAACGTAAGCTAATGTATATACTTAATTACTAACAATTCTTTTGCCTCCTGAATGACGTATATTGGGTAATCTGAATAAGATTACCCAGAATAAATTATTATAAAACCTATAGTCGAATTGAAGTAAATTGAAATAGTTTTTCTTTTATAAAATAATTCACTATATATATAAATGTATTAAAATAATAATTAGTTTTAATTTTATGCTTAGTGAGGCTTAATTAGGTTCATTTCAACTGTTGTTTCGTTGCACCATATTTGCGTTACGCCAATAAGTGCTCTGTATGTTTGGGGTATGTTTTCAGAAATATTATTTACAGATATAAACAAATTCGGAGACAAATTTTAAGATAGTCTCTGGACATGAAAATAAATGTGAACGATCTATTACTATATGCTTAACTTACACTTACTTATTTATTATATACTTACTTATTTACAGATATAAACAAAGTCAGAGACTAATTTTAAGATAGTCACATTTCATGAAAAGAAATGTGCACGATCTATTACTATATGCTTAACTTACACTTACTTATTTATTATATACTTACTTATTTACAGATATAAACAAAGTCAGAGACTAATTTTAAGATAGTCTCTGAACATGAAAAGAAATGTGCACGATCTATTGCCATATGCTTAACTTCACTCTAGGTTTTGCTTAATTTTCGCATTTCTGTTATGAATTTTTTTTCTTTGCCCCCAGTGATTACTAAAGAGATAGGGTGAAGGACACAGATGTTTTCCTCAGTGGATAACGAAGAAAAAAATCTTTAAAAATAATTCTGAACAATAAAAATAGTTAACTTATAGGGTTGAATTTTTTAGCATTGTTCATGACATGGAGAAAATATATTTCCTTGTTAAATTTTCTGTGCATTTTTCGGTTAAAAGATTTTCTCGATCAATTTAGTTCCAGATATTCAAGATGACAATAAATTTTGGAATTTCGAATATAGCGCTTTTCACTGCGTAATCAGAGTACTTTCATATGAACAAGATTTAATCGTTTTAATTTAAACATGAGATGTAAAAGAGTCCATGTACATGCTTCATTCTATATGTATGTATGTCCATTTATTTTTTTGAATTTATAATAAAAAGTTGTATAACATAATTTGTGAGTGTTATATTTGTTCCGTATTTTTGAAAAAGGATAATAGAAAACTTTTAAGTTGATTGTCTCTATCTATCAGTGGCGGAGCTAGACCAACTCTGGACGTCGGCGACATTAGAATTGCGAGACCCCCTTTATAATCCAGTTGTAAAAGTAAATGAGTTACTTTCACTAATATGACAAAGAATGATTGAAAGTTTTATTGCTAATCAAATTAAAATAAATACAAATTAAAATAAATGAATTTTCCTACTTTTAGATTCACTCAATTTTTTTTTAAATTATATCATAATTTGCGCCAGCTGCTATTTTCCTTTCAGTTTATAGAATTTCGAATGGAGATAGTCTCTCTTGGATCATCATACTTTTCTAGTACGTCTTAATCAATTTTAAATTTGAGAAGCTTCTTTCCGTCGAAGCTATACTGACTGAAACTGTGAACATGAATCTGGTTACTATATAAACATTCGGAAATATTTCGAATATGGTTAATGCCATTATTAAACCAAATTGTTCAAAATATTATTAAGTGCTTAGAATCCACAGTCGGTAACTTTTTGCGAGGCCCCTGCGAGCGCGAGGCCGTCGGCGGTCGCCGAAATCGCTGACGCCTAGCGACGCCACTGCTATCTATCTACTAATTCTACTAATTCTCAGACTATAAGAATATCTTTTTCATTGCATGTATAATCATCCTACGTAATTCTGTCAAGATCTCTGAAACTACTAGTTGTAAAGGGGAAAGTAAGTAAATTTAGAATAATTACAAGAAAAAATAAAGCAAGACTTTTACAAAATTATCCATTATTTTGAAAACCTTTTTCTTTGCATATATGTTTTACTTCTGTTGCGTAGGGTGACATTCGAGATCACTGGAACTAATAATTGTAGAGTACAAAGTAAACGGATATAGAATAATTATATTAAAAGGTAAAGAAAGGCATTTACAAAATATTGCACTATTTTTTTTATTTTTGATAAATGGTGGTTATATGTATACTTACAGATACTGGTGCTTAAATGTCTGTAACTTGTAAAGAAATTCTTTAAATAAAGCTTTATAGTATTTTTAAATAATCGGTTAGATTACATCGTGTTGAAATTAGAATTGATATATTTTTTCTCAAGTTTTATATTAAATTCTGTGCTTGTTCATTAAAATATAATTACTTTTCACATATCTTTTTATATATATTTGATATTAACTAATCACTTCTAAAATGTAGCATGTAATCTTTTCCTTTTTCTACCTTTGGAAACCTATGGGTTGACTCCAAGTGTTGAGTTATATTTATATTACTATATATAAATTTATTGAACTTAAGCAAGTCTAAATGAAACATGAGAAAAAATGTTACTGGGTAGTGTCCGGTTCTTACGAAGTGACCTATATTACTATTATATTATGCGCAAAATGAAGACAATCGAATGGTCTCCGATGCAGCAACTACCGAGAGTTTTGCGCTGCAGCATTTTGCTTAAGAACGTCAACAAACGCGTAATCTTAAGAAGTATGGGGAAGAGATTTCAAAAAAAAAAAAATTAATTTTTTGTTGAATCATTTTATTGTTTTATATGTAAAGCGACATTTATTGCAGAGCTGTTCTGTAATTATTCAATCTCTTGCAAAAGTGTACTCTTTTTTCTATATGAAAGGTCTTATCAAATCGTTTAAGATAAGATTTAAATCTGTATGGCAGTTTTTATATTTATATGTACTTATAAAACCAAATACTAGTAATGCGAGTGAAATATACAAAAATCGACAGCAAAAGTTTTCAAAACTTTTCAGTGAGACGTTACCTTTGAAAATGTGATGTTCTAATGAAAGTATTTCTAAGCAAGATCCGGTGAAATTTTAGTGAGAAGCACTCTCTGAGTGTGTGTATTTATATATTTATTTAATAAGTGCGGGAAATAACCGATATCAAGAGCGTGTTTAACTAAAATTCGATTCGTATCTGTGCTATAAACTGAAATTGTTTGTGGTTATGTGGATATAATAATTTTGTTTGTCTAGTGAATTATTTTCGTTGTGTAGGTTTTTTTTCGTAATCACAAACTGTCAAACATTTATTATTAATAAATAATTTAAAAGTGATTTCAATATAAGGCAATAATTCTCACAGCAATTTTATTTACATATACGAGTATTTCAAGTTGTTAATGGACTACTGGGAAAATGCATTATTTTTGTGATTCATTTGAAATAATTTTACACTTTGAATTATAAAATTTTTAATATATTCATAAAAAATATTAATGGAATTGTTAATAATATTATTACATGTGTTTTTAATTTATATTATTAAACCATTTAAATAACATCTAAAATAATAAAAGCTCGCAAATACATCTTTAATATATGGCTACTATGGTCGTGTGCGAGTTGAACTAAATTAAAGTAAAGTAAATTGAAATTTTCTAGGCATTCTTTGCACTGCACTTATGTAAATATTTATTTATTTATTTGATGCACTTATTTATCATTTTTGGTTTAAAATTTTTAAAATTTTTTATTTATTTATTAAACATCTTACAAAATTTTTGTAATGGTAACACCTAATTTACTTAATTTTTATCTAATTTACCCTACTCGAAATTCTAGTAAATACCAACATTCACACCCATACCGACATAATTCACTAATTTCCTCAATTTACCATCAATTTAGTCGAACTCGCATACGGCCTGTGTAATGGTTAATGTGTGGTAATAGAAAACTGACTTCAGTGGATATTTTTTAATTGCGAAAAAACTTTAAAAAGATAACATCTATATCACTTTATGAATTTATAATCAATTTAATCTAAAAATAAACTACACTTATTGTTAACAAGTTTTATGGTGTCTATTAAATGTGATATATATGTTTATTGTAAGGCCGCGCATTTAAAATAATAAAATAATACTTCAATCTAATTTCATCAGTTAATTATTTCATTTCATTTCATTAATAATTCAATTTTTTTTGAGTAATTAATTGTTTTAATTACCAAATATTTTTAATAATAATTTTGTATTTTAACGGACTTATTGGTCAGTAGTTCAATAATATACTTTTTAAAAAATTGTTTTTGGTTTTTAAAAAATATTTAAATCGATATTTCGATTCTAATTTATAGTTATCATAGCCATAGCCATAGTACCCTGATGATGACTATAGATTATAGATGAAATATCGGTTTAAATAAAATTTTTTAAAACCAAAAACAATTTTTTTAAAACTTAATTTTTTGAAAATTAGCCCATTAAAAAACAAAACTAATTTTTTTTGATATGTATTAAATTTTTTTAAAATGTTTTGAACAATAAATATATACATATATATATGATATTTGTATAATGTTTTGGTGAAATATAAACCGGTCTATACTCATAGACGTTTACTAGTGTTACGTACTGGACTTAAAACTATAGCCACCTGCTTCTATGCTACACTTTAATTATAATAAATGTTATGAAATAAA